AAACTGACCCCGGGGAGGAGGGGGGAAGCCCCACAAAACTCAAGGGTCGGGTTCAGACAGCATGCTAAGCCCCCCCATCACCACCACCACCACCTCACCAAAGTACAGGTAGTCCTCGATTTACAGCCACAATTGACCCCAAAACGTCTGTTGCTAAGCGAAACCTTGGTTAAGTGAGTTTTGTCCCACTTAATGACCTTTCTTGCCAGTGGTTAAGTGAATCACTACACTTGTTAAATCAGCATCACGGTTATTAAATGAATCTCGCTTCCTTCATGGATTTTGCTTGTCAGAAGGTCGCAAAAGGGGATCATGTGACACACACACACCCCCGGGACACAGCAACCATTATAAATACGAGTCGGTTGCCAAATGTCTGAATTTTAATCACATAACCATGGGGGAGGCTGTGATGTTTTTTGCAAGGTTGTTTTTGAAAAGAATGTGAAGATTGTGTGCATATGATGTTCTTATGTGTGGCTTTTACTTGTGTGTAGTGTGCACTGTGGGCAGCACTTAATTTCATTGTGAGTTACACAATGACAATAAAGCTATTCTATTCTATTTTCTATTCTATTCTATTTTCTATTCTCTATTCTATTTTCTATTCTATTTTCTATTCTATTCTATTTTCTATTCAATTCTATTCTATTTTCTTTTCTATTTTCTTTTCTATTCTATTTTCTATTTTATTTTCTATTCTATTTTCTATTTTATTTTCTATTCTATTTTCTATTCTATTCTATTCTATTTTCTATTTTCTATTCTCTATTCTATTTTCTATTCTATTCTTTTCTATAATCTGTTATATTCTATTTTCTATTCTATATTCTATTCTATTTTCTATTTTATTCTATTCTATTCTATTCTATTCTCTGTTTTATTTTCTATTCTATATTCTATTCTATATTCTATTCTATTTTCTATTTTATTTTCTATTCTATTTTAATGGTCATAAGCATAAAACACAATCCTAAGACACTTTTTTCAGTGCCGGTTTAACTTCAAACAGTCACTAAAGGAATGGTCAGTTAACACGTTTTGCTTAGTGACAGAAATTTGGGGCTCAGTTGTGACCCTAAACGGAGGATTACCTGAACAGACAGGCTAAGGACCGTGAATGCAACGTCTGCTCAGGCCTCAGCGCTTTTCAGCTCGCTCACCAGCCCCAAATCCACCACCCACCAGCCCACCACCCACCACCCCGCCAGAGTAGCAATGGACGCAATGGATGGAAGCAACGGGTGGAAACTGATCAAGGAAAGAAGCAACCTGGAACTAAGGAGAAACTTCCTGACAGTGAGAACAATTAACCTGCGGAACCACCTGCCTCCAGAAGCTCTGAATGCTCCAGCACTGGACGTTTTGAAGAAGAGACTGGACAGCCCTTTGTCTGAAATGGTATAGGGCAGTGTTTCTCAACCTTGACCATTTTAAGGCGTGTGGACTTCAACTCCCAGAATTCCACAGCCAGCATTGCTGGCTGTGGAATTCTGGGAGTTGAAGTCCACATGCCTTAAAATGGTCAAGGTTGAGAGACACTGCTATAGGGTTTCCTGCCTGAGCAGGGGGTTGGACTAGAAGACCTCCAAGGTCCCTTCCAACTTGATTGTTGTTGTTGTTATAAGAGTATATAGCGCTTAGGCAGGCGAAAGTCCACGAGCGCAGCTCTGCTCCAGCATCAGGACTTTTCCGCCCGGGGCAAGGGGGCTTCTTCTCGGCAGGAGCGCCCCCCCCCCAAAACACAAACCCCACTCACAAGACCCCCCCCCGCCCTTTGGGGCATTGTCTCCCCGCCGAGATTCATTCATTTGCAAAGCGATCCCGGCGCTGCGCTTTCGCCTTTGCAAGCTGCGCCGGCTGGCCTTTGCCCCTTGAAAAGCTTTGCGCCCTCTTCGCTCGCGCTTCCTCCTCCGGCCCCGGCAAGCTCACCTCTTAACTCGCCCGCCATCCTGGGCTTTTCCCCCGGCCCGTCCCGATCCTTCGCCTAAGCCGAGGCGGAAAAAAAGAGATCCGCCGCCGCTGCCGCTGCCGCCACGCCTCTTCCCGGCCCCGGCTGGGCAAGCTGGGAAAGGTAGTTTCTTCGCTCCGGAGCGGCGCCCGGTAGAATCAAATCTGCAGGAGAGAGGAGAGCGAGGAGGGCGGAACCGGAGTGACTTCGGAGCCGGAATGCTTGCTTTTATTTATTTATTTATTTATTTATTTTCAGGAAATCTTCCAAGGTGTCCTTTGCAACATCATAAAGGTTAGTGACAATAAAGGTTATCTTAAGTCTTAAACGCAAAGCAGAGAAGACAGGCAGATGTTCCACCGGTGCAGCCGCCCTTTCGTGGATTTGGACTGCAGTTCCTATAAACCGCTTCCTCCCAAGGGTAGGCTGTAATTATGTCTAAATAGTAGAATTAGATAGAGATAGATAGATAGATAGATAGATAGATAGATAGATAGATAGATAGATAGATAGATGGATGGATGGGTGGGTGGGTGGGTGGGTGGGTGGGTGGGTGGGTGGGTGGGTGGGTGGGTGGGTGGCTGGAGGGATGGAGGGATGGATAGATAGAATGATGAAGATAGATGACAGAGAGAGACAGATAGAGATAGAGAGATTAGAGAGAGAGATACATAGTTAGATATATATACAGAGAGAGATCCATAGATTAGATAGAAGATAGAGATATATAGATTAAATAGATAAATAGAGATATACATAGATACATAGACTGGTTAATAATATCGGTAAAAATTCAACTCCTGGGTATATTCATATTGCAAAATAAATAAATAACGATCACCAGGAGAATCCAATAAGGAAAAATATTTAATAAAACCAAGCTTTCATCGGAAACTTCCGACATTGTCAGAGTTAAAGGCAGTCAATGGGAAGAAACTTATAGAGGATCAGTTTCTCCCAAAGCCTAGCCATGAGCAATACTGCTCTATCATAATGGTTAATAATATCGGTAAAAATACATAGATTAGATAGATAGATAGATAGATAGATAGATAGATAGATAGATACAGAGTTATACATAGATACATAGATTAGGCAGGGGTGTCAAACTGCCAGTCCGCGGGCCAGTTTATATCATAGCGAAGCCACGTCCACCCCATTGCCGGCAATGCAAAAAGAGTTGCGGTACATCGTGACACGTCACGTGACATGGCAAATTTGACACCCGTGGATTAGAGAGATAGAGAGATGGATGGATGGATGGATGGATGGATGGATAGATAGATAGATAGATAGATAGATAGATAGATAGATAGATAGATAGATAGATAGATAGATATAGTGTATGTTTGTTAACCTTGACCACTTTACGATGAGTGGACTTCAATTCCCACAATTCCCCATGGCTGGTTGGGGTATTCTGGGAGTTGAAGTCCACCCATCTGAAAAGGGTCAAGGTTGAGAAACCTTGGTGTATATGACAGACACTTTGTAACTCTGTTTAGTAAAGCCGTGAATACAATTAAGAAAAAAAAACTTGTCCTCAGAAATTATCTCAAGTTCCCCAGTGAACAGCCAGCTGTTTTCTTTAAAAAAAAAAATAGAAAGAACATGGGGTGTTTCTTTATCAAAGGAAAATAAATGAACCCAAGGAATCTTAAAATATTAGCAAAATCACAATAGTATTGTGAGTCAGAACTGCGTAATTCTGGAACAGTTTCCATCAAGCATTTGACAATAATCTTAGATAAGATGATAAGATAAGATATAAGATAAGATAAGATAAGATAAGATAACCTTTATTGTCATTTTTTTTACCGTGGGCTGACTGGCACACATTAAAAATGAAATTCCGTTGCCCGCTTTCAAAAGTGTACACATACATAACACACATATAGACACGCTATATACTACATATGTATATACCTATATATAAATCCTTACATATAAATTCTTACATAGGGCATCTGGAACCAGAATTTTATCCCATTTAGCCTGAACATATTTTGATTTTTGAGAATTCTGTGCTCCAAGAGTCCCAAGTTTCTTACAAACAACCAAAAGCAGCAGCCACTGTGATGTTTCAGCTCTGTTATATGACTGTTGTCCCTATGGTTAGTTTCTCATTTGGCATGGAAATCAAATCAGGGTTAGTTTAATCAATCTGGATTAAGTTAAAGCATAGGTAAATTCAATAGGGATCTGGCATTTTGTCCACAAAGCGCTTTTGGATGCTTTGTAGAAACTTTTTTGTAGATTTTGAATTATGCTCGTCTTTTATTTACCATGCCACAGTAGTTTTTCCTGATTTTGTTTTTAGTTTGTTTGTTAAAAAAAAAGTCTTTTAGATATTTTCACAAGCTATTTATCAGATTGAAGAGTGGAATATAAATCTGGATATTTTATTATTTATGTATTGAAAGTTTATTCACTACTTAATTAAGAAAAAAATTATTTCTTCTTGTCCTCCAAAACCTGTGGAGTTTAAACGTATGTGCTTTGAAGGAATAATAAAACAATGACATACACTAGGTTGAAATTAAAATGAATTATCACAGGAAATGTAATCTGGCCCCATGACAGTAATAATTTGAAATTTGAAATCTCTTGCAGGACAAGCCTAATTTATTTTTCTGCCCCTTCTTGTAACACAGAATTGCTTTTCAAGTAAATTTGAACAATATGGTTGGGACTATAACTCAATCAGAGCTCCTCATTTAAACAAAAATAAACATCCGCGCTATTACACCATACAATACGGTACCGAAGTAGGTCTTTCTGCCGTGCGCATGCTCACAAAGACCGCGCATGCTCACAATGTCTCTTCTCCCCCCCCTTCCTCAGCAACTCCGTCTTCCTGTACGCCCCAGAAGGCAGGCGGAGACCAAACATACATAGATTAGAAGAAGAAAAAAAAACATGTTTCACGCATGCGCCTTCTCGCCTCGCTCTTCCTTCTCCGCCCGGCCGATGAGATCACAAGGCGGGGAGGGGCTTCTCCTTGTCACGTGCCAACGAACGGGCGCCTCGCCCTCCAGGCGGCACTGCGCAGGCGCGGCCGGAGCCCGAAGGGGCGGAAACCAGCCTTCTCCCGGAAGTGTGTGGTTTCTAGGGTGCAGCGAGCGGACCGGGGTGAGAACAGGTGCGGCGGGGTCTTCGTCCCGGGTAGCGGGGAAGGAAGGAAAAAGCCGCCATGTCGGCCTTCGACGCGAACCCCTTCGCGGATCCCGTGGACGTCAATCCCTTCCAGGTAAGCCTGGCGGGGGGTGGGTGGGTGGGGTGGCCGTAGGCCTCACTCTAATGGTGGGTGGGTGGGGGAAGACCTTAGCCTCCCCCCACAATATACTGAACGGGGAGGGGGAACAATGAAGTGATCTGACTCCAGTGGGCCTGCGAGGCACCCCATTCCCGACCTGGTACTCCCCGCCCCACAAATAGGTTAGGACTACAACTCCCATCATTCCCAGCCCCCCCTGGGCTGGGAATTCTGGGTCGGGGAGGGTGGGGGGAAGGGGCTCCAGAGGGATTCATGGGTGTGGGGGGTGTGGGGGTGTGGGGGTGGGTGTTCCCCCAGCTGGCAGCCCTGTTATCCCAATCTTGTAGCCCTTTTCAGCTCCTGAGCTGCTGCTTCGCGTTTAGATTTGGCTTCTTTCTTTGCAGAGGAAAAAGTAGTCGTAGGAAGGGCGGCCGAGCAAAGGTCGGCTGTGAAGTCAAGATCTGAGCCTCGGTTTCCCTTCCTGCTCTCTCCCCAAGCTGGCATTCACAGGGGCCAAACTGGAAGCAAAACATGATTTATGAGAGTGTAAGCCACTCTAGAGTTGCTCCAGAGTGAGATGGGTGGCTTATGCATTTCATAAATAAATACACACGGAAATAAATAAAACTCCTCCCCTCCCCGCCCCAAGAAAAGATAAAATGTGCTTATTTTTAGTGAATCTAATTTCTAGGCAAAGTGTGATGATCTGTTTCTTTAATCCAGGGAGGGGTCTCCAAACTTGGCAACTTTTGAGCCATGGGTGGCAATTAACTGGCTGAGGAATTCTGGAAATTGAAGTCCACAGGTCTTAGTTATCAAGTTTGGAGATCCCCCTGTTAACTGATTTCTCCAAAGAAGTAGCCATGTCAGGCTCTTACAGCCAAAACAGCATCTAAGGGTATTGTGGTATTTAAGAGCTTAGGAAAAAAATAGTCCCTACCCTATGAAATATCATTTTCCCACAAGGTCAGGCTGGTCCCAACCCGTTAACTTTCCAGAAGGCACTGAAAACATGGGTTTATCAACAAACTTGGGGATCCCATGATAGTGAGGAGCCAGTTAGATGACTGTGTGACTTTTGCACGCTGTATGTTTGCCACCATTTGTCTTTTTTCTTTTTATTTGTAATGGTGGTTTTAATGGTTTTTTATGTACTCATTTTTATGTATTTTGTTTTACTATGTACGCTTCCCAGACTCTCTCTGTGAGATACAAATATATAAATTGCAATCATGTCAGAAATTTGTTTGTCCCCAACATTTGCTGTGGCTTCAGCTAATTTAGACAGTTTCCTGCTCTCTAGCTGTGATCCCTCTCTTTTAGCTGGGTGAATGCAACACTGGCCCTAGGAATAAAAACATACTTGCTTCTGTTCACATAATACGCTGGAGCAAATAAGCCATTTTGTGCTTTAACATGATAGCTTGGTTCCTGTATTACTGTAAGCCACAAACTATCCATCTCTATTTTAGCATACAGTAGTATAGTGTGTTGAGTTAAGCCAATGAGGTTGTTGAAGTTGAAGCCTTAAAAGGATGGGTTTATAATAATAATAATAATAATAATAATAATAATAATAATAATAATAATAATAATAATAATAATAATAATAGTAAAGTTGGAAGGGACCTTGGAGGTCATCTAGTCCAACCCCCTGCTCGGGCAGGAAACCCTACACCATTTCGGACAAATGGTGTCCAGTCTCTTCTTAAAAACTTCCAGTGTTGGAGCATTTACTGCTTCTGGAGGCAAGCTGTTCCACTGATTAATTGTTCTCACTGTCAGGAAGTTTCTCCTTAGTTCTAGGTTGCTTCTCTCCTTGATTAGTTTCCACCCGTTGCTTCTTGTCCTGCCTTCAGGTGCTTCCTGTCTTGAACTTCTTGAAGAAAGATTGAGAGGAGGGGAAAAAAAGAGATAAAATGTAAAAACGATTATGCTAAAAACATCAGATTCATTTTAAGTCTTTCATTTCTCCAGTATGGAAATGCTTTTTCCTCTGTTGGAGATATATATAATATAACGTAACACAAAAATGATGCTTGTTTTTGGTGGTAAATAATAAACAAGGATTGTAGAGGAGGCTTCTGATCTGCAGTTTGAGGTTCCTGGTCAGAGTAGTAACTGTTCAGCAAGCTACGTATGAGCAGAGCCACTGTTATGTGATTTTCACAGTTTTTCTTGAAATATTAACTAGGTTTTGGGGTTGTGCTGCTGAACTTCTGCAAGCTTTTGCTGCTCTTTGTTCCGCTTTGCTAAGATATTTCCTGGTCTATTTTTCAAAGTGTTTTCTTCATCTTTTTTGGTACCCTGCTCATGCAATGGTATATTTGTTGTTGTTGTTAATTGTGAAGTCGTGTCCGACCCATTGTGACCCCATGGACAATGTTCCTCCAGGTCTTCCTGTCCTCTACCATCTTCTGGAGTCCATTTAAGTTCACACCTACTGCTTCAGTGACTCCATCCAGCCATCTCATTCTCTGTCGTCCCCTTCTTCTATTGCCCTCAATCTTTCCCAGCATTAGGCCCTTCTCCAGTGAGTCCTTCCTTCTCATTAGGTGGCCAAAGTATTTGAGTTTCAACTTCAGGATCTGGCCTTCTAAAGAGCAGTCGGGGGTTGATCTAGGACTGACCGGTTTGAATGCCTTGCAGTCCAGGGGACTCACAGGAGTCTTCTCCAGCACCATAGTTCAAAGGCCTCAATTCTTTGGCGCTCAGCCTTTCTTATGGTCCAATTTTCACAGCCATACATTGCAACTGGGAAAACCATGGCCTGGACTATACGCACTTTTGTTAGCAGGGTGATGTCTCTGCTTTTTAGGATGCTGTCTAGATTTGCCATAGCTTTCCTCCCCAGGAGCAAGCGTCTTTTAATTTCTTGGCTGCAGTCCCCATCTGAGGTGATCTTGGAGCCCAGAAAAATAAAATCTGTCACTACCTCCATTTCTTCCCCATCTATTTGCCAGGAATTGAGAGGGCCGGATGCCATGATTTTGGTTTTCTTAATGTGCAATGGTATATACTGTTTGCTAAATATGACTAGTCACTGAAACTCTGTTGTAAGGAGTGTTGTTATTCAGAATCTGGCATAGATTCATCTGCTGTCTGATTTTACGGCTTTTAAGACACATTTCCTGTTGCTTTCCTCATAATTCTGCTGAAAAGGCTTTGAAGTTTGCTGTTCCAAGCCCCTAACAATGGAACAGAACCCATGCCAGATAAAGTTTTAACTCTTGGTTGTAATTTATCTATACCTAAGAGAGGTAGAAATTTCCTGTTCAAGACCAGTTTCTCATATCTTTCCCCTAGATTAGCTTAATTTATGGATTTGGTATGAGGGTAAAATAAAATTGCTCCCATTTTGGCCCCGTGAAAGAAGTGGGACACAAACATAAAGCTTATGATGATCTGGGTGCGATAGTGTGATTGTCTCCGTGTATCTGGGCAGCCCTTTGAGGCAGGCCAGCTCAAGAAATGGACACAGCAGGGATTCCAGGAATGCTACTTTAATGTATACAGGTAGCCCTTGACTTACTACCAGAATTGAGCCCACCTTTTCTGTTGCTAAAACATTTGCTAAGTGAGTTTGGCTCCATTTTACTGCCACAATTGTTAAAAGAATCACTGCTGTTAATAACATGATTGTTAAGTGAATCCGGCTTCCCCATTGATTTGATGATGATGATGATGACGACGAAGAAGAAGAAGAAGAAGAAGAAGAAGAAGAAGAAGAAGAAGAAGAAGAAGAAGAAGAAGAAGAAGAAGAAGAAGAAGAAGAAGAAGAAGAAGAAGAAGAAGAAGTAGTAGTAGTAGTAGTAGTAGTAGTAGTAGTAGTAGTAGTTGGAAGGGACCTTGGAGGCCACCTAGTCCAACCCACTGCTTAGGCAGGAAACCCTATACCTTTTCAGACAAATGGCTGTCCAGTCTCTTCTTAAAAACTTCTAATGTTGGAGCATTCACAGCTTCTGGAGGCAGGTGGTTCCACTGGTTAATTGTTCTAACTGTCAGGAAGTTTATCCTTAGTTCTAAGTTGCTTCTCTCCTTGATTAGTTTCCATCCGTTGCTTCTTCTTCTGCCTTCCGGCGCTTTCGAGAATAGCTTGACTGCCTCTTCTTTGTGGCAGCCCCTGAGATACTGGAAGACTGCTATCATGTCCCCCCTCGTCCTTCTCTTCATTAAACTAGACATACCCAGTTCCAGCAGCCGTTCCTTATATGTTTTAGCCTCCAGTCCCCTGATCATCTTTGTTGCTCTTCTCTGTACTCTCTCTAGAGTCTCAACATTTTGCTTGTCAGAAGGCCACAAATGGTCACATGACCCTGAGACGCGGTAACCGTCATAAATAGCCAGTTGCCAAGCGGATGAATTTTGACCCTGTGACCACGGGGTTGCTGCAACGGTCCTAAGTGTGAAAAACAGTCCTAAGTTGCTTTTTTCAGTGGCGTCGTAACTTTGAATGGCCGCTAAACAAACTCTTGTAAGTTGAGGACTTCCTGTATTTCAGAATCTTGAAAGCTTGTCCTAGTTTCTCTCTGCCACATCCAGCGTTTATCAGCCTTGGAAAATGTGTGGACTTCGTTTTCCAGAATTCTTGGCGAAATCCAAGAAGTCTTCGAAGTTGCCAGGATTGCAAAACACTGGTCTCATCTTATACTAAATTAAGACAGGGTCATTTCCTCGTCTTTCTCACAACTCCTTCCAATTCTGGACTGTCTAACCCAGTGTTTCTCAACCTTGACCATTTTAAGGCATGTGGACTTCAACTCCCAGAATTCCACAGCCAGCATTGCTGGCTGTGGAATTCTGGGAGTTGAAGTCCACATGCCTTAAAATGGTCAAGGTTGAGAAACACTGGTTGTAACCTCTTCTCTGTGTCCCTCCTTAATTGTTCTTTCTTATCTTCTCCGAGGTCTAACTGCGTTTAGACACACATAGATCGCTGAGCGTAGTTCCAGCGTCTTCCTACTTCCGCTTAGTTACTCCAGCCTTGGAAGAAA